CTGTTTTGCTCCCAATTGCAACCCTAACTGTGCTGGCAGATAGTAGGTGCCCCGAAACACTGTTAAACAAGTGGAGACCCTACTGAGATGAACTGTGACCAGCAGTGGGTCCGACAGGCCACGGAATGCGCATGTCAGGGAAGCAGGAAGAGAACAGCGCAGCCTGCCAGGACTTGTCAGTGAGTGGCGGACCACTGGGGGCTGGGGTGGAGAATTCATATAGCACAAATCCGGGCACATGTGTCTGTCCACAGAGAAGCATTTGAAAGGGACGACAGAGTGGGATTCCAGGCGCAGGGCTGCTCTGTGCCCGAGTCCCTGGTATGCGGCTGTGGACTCACACATGGAGCAGGTCCCCAAGGTGCTCGCGCTGGGCCCATGAGTGGCCTGTTTGTGGGGGACTTGCTATGGAACAGCCTCAATGGTAAGCTCATGTTCATACATTCATCTCATGCTTCTTGCCCCTGCTTTTTTTTGTTCATTCTCACTCAAGGATTTTTTTCCATTGCTTTTCAGAGAGAGAGAGTGAACGGGAGGGAAGGAGAGAGAGGATGAGAGGAACATTGATGTGAGAGAGACACAGCAATTGTTTGCTTCCCTCACACACCCCGACCAGGGATGGGGAATGAACCCACAACCCAGGTACATGCCCTTGACTGGGAATCAAACCTGTGTCTCTTCCATGCCCAGGCCTACGCTCTAACCCCTGAGCAACACCGGCCAGAGCTCCATGCCCTTTTTGAGGTACAGCACCACCCCTCTATGGATAAGGAAACTTGGAAGTCAGGCCCACAAACAAGGTCCCACATTGTTCAGGAACACCCACCTAAGAGGCAGGAGCATGAAGCAATGCCTAGAGGGCAGTGAACAGCCCCTTCAGGACAGGCACCTCCCGGAGGAGGGAGTGTCCAGGGACCTCTAGCACGCTAATATTTTCTTTGTTAAGCTGGGTGGGGTACTGACATTTACTCTTTTAGGTTTATCATAACTCCTACATTACCTTTGATTTTTTTCAATAAAGCAGCTTGTCCATGGTCCCAGCTAGAGGAGCTGGCGCCTGAGCTGGAATGCAGGTCTCCCCACACGCCTGTGATCATGCTCAGACAGCCCGCGTCTGCTGTGAACCAGGATCACCTGCTTGGACAAATGACACAGGACCCCAGGCAGCTTCCATCTCCACATGAAGCAGGCACCTCCCAGGTGGGACCCAATGGCTCTGCATGCGGAGCAGTGACCATGTCACTCAGTCGCTGTGGCATGCAAGTGCCCACACCTCCCAGGGCAGCCCTGTCTCCCGAGGAGCCAGAAGAGCACCTGGAGCCGTGCTCTGCAGCATCGAGAAAGACCTAGAACTCCAGGCTTCTGAGAAAGAGCATGTGCCGGCCTGCGTCCCTCAGGGGAGCCTGGAGGAGGACCTGGCTGCACACCTGGGCTCTCTGTACCTTGCCAACAGACGGACATCTCCAGGCCACCTCCCCACCTTGGGGTGCCCCTGAAGGCACTGGCTGCAGCAGTCTCAGGGCCTGTTGGGGCACCCTGCCCAGCCCTGTCGCTGCAAGCCCACACACAGCAGCAGAGGGGCACTTTCCTTAATGGACGGCCTCCTCTGCTGCTGCCCCAACAGCACAGAAACCTGCCGTTCAAGGACAATGCCTGGTATACACACTGGTGGGCGCAGTGGTGCATCCTGCACAGGTGGAAGAGGGCGCAGGTGACCAAGGATGAAAAGGGGCTCCGGGCACAGTGTCTTGTCTTGTGACACCACCAAGAACTTCCTAAGGACAAGGGCAAGGGACACCAGAGCCAGCTGAGATAGCCCTCTGCCCCCTCCTGGGAGCCTGGTGACCTGGGGGTGCCTGAGGTCGAGTTTGGGCTTAGGACCCCTGCACAAGCACCTCCTCAGCAGCTGCGAGCTGGGGGGGGGGGGGGGGGGAAGGCACATGTGCAGTTAGTGAGAGGTTAGAGGGTGTAACTTGCCATTCTGAAAATGGGAGACACCACACCTGTTGTTTTCTCTTGAATCTGCTTTTTTCTCAAGAGCCCGAATAACATCTTCCAGGTACGGAAGTTTGGTTTTCCTGTCATTCTTCTCTTTCAGGGCCACTTCAGCCTCTGCCTCCCCCAGGGCATCGAGCTCTTCCTGCCCAGCCACCCAGGGGCCAGTGAGCCTGGGTGGGCTCGAGGTGCCCCTCCTGGCCTTTCCCCACTGTGCTGCAGCCCCACTCCAGGGTGGTCTCACCGCACTAGGCCTGCCCCACGGTCCCAGCAGGGGTTGGCCCCCTGCTCAGGTTCCCAGGCCGCTCCTTGACAACAGCCCACTGCCTCTTAGTGTCCCCCTAGCCCAGTGATGGCGAACCTATGACACGCGTGACAGAGGTGACACACAAACTCACTTTTTTGGTTGATTTTTCTTTGTTAAGTGGCATTTAAATATATAAAATAAATATCAAAAATATAAGTCTTTGTTTTACTATGGTTGCAAATATCAAAAAATTTCTATATGTGACACGGCACCAGAGTTAAGTTAGGGTTTTTCAAAATGCTGACACGCCGAGCTCAAAAGGTTCGCCATCACTGCCCTAGCCTACCCTCTGGGACTCAGTCCACCCTTTGTTCCCTGGGTTTCAGGTTGGCTCAGGCCGGCTGGGCCATCAGAAGGCATTAGGTCCTCAGGGACCCCTCGCCTGTGGTAGCAGAAGCCACCTTCTTGGGGTTGAGCACACTCCAACTGCGCTCTCTGAGGCTGACACTCTTTGAGGGCATTCTGGGTGCCAGGGCAGGGAGCAGGCTTTCCACCTGCTTCCTAAAGGTGAGCTCCACCCTCATGGGTAAAAGACTTGCAGAGCTGTGCCTGCTCTTCACTCATCCACACCTGCAGCTGAGTGGCTGCTGTGTACAGCGTGTGAGGATCTCCCTTTCCCTTTCTTCCCTTTGCTCCTTCTCCATGTCAAGCTGCTGTCATCTCTCTCACCTGCAGCAGATGTTTCTGCAGCATCCCTTCCTTCTGCTCATGTTGTGTGAATAAGTTCTTACAGTGGGAGGCCAGCTGGGCTTCCATCCTTGTGAGCTTTGGGTTCAGCTCAACTTTGGCCTCTTTTCTATAGAAACAGGAGTCACAGGCCCTGCAGCTGCAGCTCTAAGCCCCAGAACTTCCGGTCTCGTTAGAAAGACTACAGGCTTTTCTTCTTCTGGCCTCAGGCCTCCTCTCTGCTTGGCTGGCTTTATCCCCTCTCACTTCCAGGGCACCTGGGCTTCCCAGGCCCTAGGACTCTTAGAGAGGCCGCAGGACTATCTCTCACTATGGCTGGGTTCCACATGCAGAAGCTAACACAGATGCCATTCACCAGGTGACAGATGAATGCAAGTTGATTAAAAATGAACAATTAAAATGCAGTCCCTTAGTTGCCCAGGCCACATATCCATGCTCAGCAGCATGTGAGGCTGGCGGCGGCCTTCGCACCCAGCAGACACAGGGATGTCCCTCGTCGCAGGAAGTTGCGGACAGCCCGGCCTGGTCTTAGTCAGCTGAATGAAACGCACCCACAGTCAAACTGCCCTGGAAAACTCTGTCAGGGGCTGAGCCTGAGGCCTTGGCAGCTGGGAGAACTGAGTCAAAGCTGAGATGAGGGCCACATGAGGGCACCAAGCCTGGGACAGGAGTGCTCTCTGCTTCTGCCAATGAAGGCCTGAGCCAGACAGACGGTGAGCAGCAGGAGATCCTCCCAACAAAGACATCTCGGGCTCGAGATGGGAAGGATGGGCAGGAGGGCACCGCCCTGCCCTGATCCTCTGCTGCCTGGTGGGGTCTGGAGGGAGCTTTGGCCCCGTATCACACAGCTCTTGGGTTTCAGAGAAAATAACAAAGCTCAGGGGAAGCACGTGACTTAAAAATGACTTATCAACCCGGCTGGTATGGCTCATGCACCAAGAGTTCACCAGTTCGATTCCTGGTCAGGGCACATGCTCAGGTTGCTGGCTCAATCCCCAATAGGGGGCATGCAGGAGGCAGCTGATCAGCGATTCTCTCTCATCATTGATATTTTCTCCATCTCCCTTCCTCTCTCTCTAAAAAATCAATAAAACATTTTTTTAAAAAAGACTTATCCCCTCCAGAAGTGTCAGCCAGTCCCTGCAGGCCCGAGGGTGTCATCTGGAGTGGAGGGAGGAAGGGAGCACAGGCGCACCCTGACCAGCACCTCCCCCCTCACCCAGTGGGAGGCATGAACTCCTCAGGAAGGGCCCTGACACCTGCACTCAGTGTGCTGACTGGGGGCATGTCCACTTGGCAACAACATCGGCACCCAAACAGGTCCACACAGAGCCCCCCACGAGGGCAGGTGTGTGATGGGCACCTTCTCCGGGAGTCGTCCGCTCAGCTCTATGCCAACATGTATGGGGTGTGGCCATCCTCTCCTGAGCTGGGAGGATCCAAGACTCCTCGCGGGACAGGGAGGGATGGCTGACCAGCACTGAGCCTGCAATAACTAGTTGCTACTAGTTACACTGTAACAGAAAAGACCACATTCCAGTTTTCCAAATAAGCCTTTTCTCTCCTGTGCTCATATATTTTAGCCTTTTCAAGAATCTCACTAACCCAAATTAATGGTTCTTCCCATTGTTTTAGGGCTTTTAGATCTCTTATCCATCTCCCCGTGTGCTACACCACCATGTCCTAGGAAATTAGAACAAGATATTAAATGATGAAGAACATACTGCCTTTGCTATATCAGACAAGTCTGAGGCAGAAGGTGAAAAACACTGAGATAAAATTCTACAAGGCAGATTGTTTCATGGCCTAAGCTCTGGCTAATACACGTCAAATCTGGAGTAAAAATCCTTATACGATGGCCTGATCTGCCAGTGCTCACCCATCTGCCCTGAGAAGAGCCACCTGGTTTACAGGTGCTGCCCTTCTGCACAGTGTGCACAACCCAATTTCACATTTTGGTTCTTGGCAAGAAACCCCAGACATGAAATCCTGCCGGGACAGGGAGCTGGACCTGAACTGCTGCAGCTCCTGCTGATGCCTCTGGCGCAGCTCCGCCTCCAGCTGCTCCTTCTCCCGGGCCAGCTGCTGCGCCAGGCCAGACAGCGCCTGCGCGTAGCACTGCTCCATCTCCGCCCGCTTCAGCTCGAACGTCCTCTCCAGCTCAGGGCCCTGGCTTGCACTCTGCAGCTGGTCCTGCAGGACCTGGATGACCTCCTGAGATTTCGCGTGGAGCTTCTCCAGGCTGGCTTTCTGGCCCTCCAGCACACCGACCTCACGCTGGAAAGCCTGCTCCATGTCTTTTCTCTTATTTGCAAAGTCCTTTTTCATCATCTCAATTTCTCTTTCATAGCAGCTTACCTGAGAGGAGAAATATGAGCAATGTCGACCAGGAGGTCCCCAAAATGACTCACTGACAATACAACACAGAAGTATGAGGCTGCCAAGTGGCACCGAGAGCAGAGAGCCTAGACCTGCTGAGGTGCAGGGGACAGCCACGCCAGCAATGCCTATGGCTCCCCACGGGCCCAGGTAGCGACAGGCTTTATTTTTCCCGGTAACCTTCCACCAGCCCCACAAAGCAGATCCAGCAGGTGGGGATGGGAGGCTGGAGGCAGCTGGGCAGGTGCCCAGCCGGGAAGCACGAGGAGGGCTGAGGGTGTGACAACACAGAGAACAGGGAGCCTTCATGAGGTTGGCAGGGCAGTTCTGAACTCCTTGGTGGCTCCAATGGGAAGGAATACTATCCAGCCATGGGCAAGGCTACTACAGCAACTACCAGCTAATACCTCCAGGGAACCCACAGGCATCACTGCAAGACAGAGGTGGCCCTGCCTCGCTGCTACTCAAACTCAGACATCTGACCCCTGATAACAAGTCATGGACACCGGCCCTTAGCAAAACCCACAACAATCTAATAACAGAGCAGGAGGCCTGGTCATCTGAGAAGACAGAGCTGGCCAGGCCATGAGGCCATGAAGTACCCCACCAAGGGTAAGTCCCAGGGTTATTTTAGTGTAGAACAAAGCCAGGAGCTGTGATTCCCCAAAGACAGAGCAAGCAGGGAGGTCGGGCCTCAGCAGTGCCTTGTGACACTCCAGACACACATAACCCCATTCCCTCCCACTATTAGTTATTCCTTATGTCCAACTCCCTCCAAAGAGGGCTTGAGGTTGAACATCGATTTTATTTCCCTTTCCCCGCACTTTCCTCCCCTGAGCAGGCTTACTCTGGAGCAGGGGGGCCGGGCGGACGTGTGCAGGTAGCACAGTGAGCAAAGCTTTCAGGCATGCAGCAGGAATTACCCAAACCTCCCTGCGGCCTCCCCATCCCTCCTGACCTTGGTCTCCAGCTGGATCCTGAGGTCTTGGTAATGTTCCTTCACCTGCTCCATCATTATCTCCGTTTCTAGACTCACGGGAGTGGAATCGCCCAGGAAGGAGATGATGCCTGCAAACAAGGCCACTTCTGTTTATGTTCTGCTCGGGTGCCCTGGACCTGGTCCACACCCTCCCATCCGGCATTTGGACGGCACTGCGAATTCCCCCGGATTTCCTCCACCACCCAGGACAGCGCACAGCCTTCCACGAGCACCTTCTGCTGGCGGTGAGGGGAGGCCCTTGCGGATTTCCACGGGTCTGTTCTGCTCCATTCTCAAAGTTGGAGCTCTGAGAAATCAACATTTTGAATCTTTGCCAGAACACAGATTACTCCAAGATATAACTAGGAGATTCCCTGCAAGATTTGCCAGGCCCTTCCATTCCCGAAAAGATGCTGCACATGGTACAGGTATTGCACCCTAAATTGTGTTCCCTGACCCAGGTACACAGAAAACCTGCGAAGACAGAAAAAAAGTGTAACCTGGAGCACAGACAAACCTCCGTGACAGTCAGTGCTTTATGATGAGGCATGTACACCACACATGCCCCACATACAGGTCATGTGGGGTTTCAGCAAATAAGTCAAGAATGGAGTGAAATGCTTGTGGAGTCAAGGTTCTGCGAGATCACAGGAAGCGACATTTTCTTTTCTTCTTTTTTTAAATATATATTTATTAATTTCAGAGAGGAAGGGAGAGGGAGAGAGAGAGAGAAACATCAATGATGAGAATCACTGATCGGCTGCCTCCTGCACGCCCCCTACTGGGGATCAAGCCCGCAACCTGAGCATGTGCTCTTGACTGGAATTGAACCAGAGACCCTTAGGTCCGCAGGCCGACGCTCTATCCACTGAGTCAAACCAGCTAGGGCGGGAAGCAACATTTTCTTCCAGAAGATCCTCCTCACTGACAATGTCAGACATCTGGGCAGCTCATTTTAATGGGCCACCTGTAGGCCCACAAGTTCTGCCAGCTCTCCAGGGTACCAGGCATTCCAAACATTGTGTATGTGGGGGATACACCACAGGGTTCCCTCAGAATGTGGGAGTTGGCCAGTGCCAGGGTTTCATCTGTGCTGGTCCAGGGGTCAGAAAACCGAGAGGAAAAGACATATTCCCTAATCGCACCATCTCCCATTTCCCAAATCATTTTCCATGGAAAAAAAAAAACAAACTGACAGACTCAGAGACATGGGCTGGAAACCCAAGATAAGCACCCCAGGAAAGAAGGCAATTCAATGCCCTGACAGCCAGAAGCTGCCATCTGGGTCTGGCCAATGGGCACAGGTAAATGGGCACCACCAGGAGCTGCTCCAGCTGAATGCCCTGAATGCCCGGCCACCATAACCCACATGGCCTCCTCTCTGTAACGCCGCCATTGTGACTGTCCCCTATGGCAGCAGCCAGACCCCTCCTCCCTTGAGGAGGCTGATGGAACCTCTACAACCAGATGCAGGGGTGAAGGGGAAGGAAAAGGCCCCAGCTGGAGATTGTTTTAGTTTTATCAGTGACACACAAAGTGGGGGACTGCTTAGAGTGCCACATCCTGAGACCTGGACAAGGACAACACTGGCATAGTACCCCAGCTCTGCATGCCCTTCGCTACAGGAACACTTGGCTCCTGATGAGAGTCATACACCCCGTGCAGCTCAGCCTCCACCAGTGCCCACCTGGCCGGACATCACACCTGGCCCGGGATCTGGTAACACCCGATGAGCTGGCCACACCCTCCACCCACCCAGCTGAGGGCAGTCAGGGCTATGGGTCTCAGAAGCCAGCAGATTCCAGTAAAGAAGCTGCAGGTGAGGGGTTTCTTTAGCGGCCAAGGAAGCTGGGCCCACGTGCACAGAAAACCCACGCGGTTCCTGTGGAGGTTCCCATACGACTCTCTTGAGCACACACTTTCTTGTTTTATTAAGTAAGCTTTTCCCTAGCAATATGGGAAACTCTGAGTGCTCTCGGGGCTACAGATGGGAGCATGTTCTCTGAGGAGCTTTTTGATCGATGGAAGCAATCAGGTTGCTGGGGCAGTCCCTGTGGTCCTGACTCCCAGGGGCAGCAGCAGGCGTGAAGCCACATATGTCATGTGACCCTGCATGGCACCCGCCTGGACAATTGCCAGGAAGGGTAGCAACCAGCCATAACCACCCTGTCCTCCAAAAGGACCACAGAAACCTCAAGCATAGCTCCAGCATCTGAAACTCCACCCCCAGCCTGATCTCAAAAGGAGCCCAAACACTTAACCACACACAGGGCCTCAGGGCCTCTTGGAGCCCAGAGCTCATCCCAAGTCTATGGCTTGTTTAGGAAGCATGAAGCCTGGTCTTTCTCAAGTTACAGCTTCAAAATGCAGCTCTGTGTTGAGCAGGTGGGGTCACTTCCAGAGTATAGCAGGGAATAAAAACTTTATTCTACTCGACTAACCATGAAATGGAAGTAGAATAGAATGTACAAACAAACTGATAAAAGGAGCTCACACACTGAGTGTCCTTATAAGCACACTGCAGGCATCAGCAGTCCCAGCTCCTGCTTGTACAGAAATGGCCTTGACCACGACTTCGGTTGGCGCAGATCGTCCGACTGCAGGAATCTGCTGGCACTGGCAGTTCCAGTGTGCTGACAACAATGATCCATATCGTGACCAGCAAGGACACTGCCCGCACGTCCACGGCCCCTCCTCCTGACCGCTTTGTCCTGCTTCCCGCTCCCTCCCTATAAAACTCTGCCTGTACCGAGAGGCTGAGGTGGGCTTTGCCGCAAACTCCCCATTTTCTCAGGTGATCGACACTTGAATAAACCTCTTTCCCTTTTCACCAGGTTCTGTCTCATGAGTTTGGCTTTCTTGGCAGAAGGCAACCAGCCTGGGATTTGGCTTCAAGAGCTCGAGGGAGATGCTATCCACATAACCCAGGCGGTGAACACCAAGTAAGGTCCGCCTCAGTCCACGCGAGGCCCCTGTGAATACGGGGAGTCCCTGACACATTCACATGATTTAGTGCCTTCCCTTTCTAAGAGCTGTCACAGACCTGTGACAACCCCCCTGCTTACCCCAGAACTCCGCTTCCCTTTTCTAGATGACCATCTCTGCATCTGGCACGTGCTGACCACTCACCTGGATCCCCTGGGTACCTCTCACAACACTGGAGAGTCACTTGGATGCATCTACCCTACGGTCATACATCCTACTCAAATGGTAAAGCCCTCGCCCTCCTTGACCTCTCTCTGGGCTCTGGGTGTTGTGTCAACCTCTAGCCTTGGGTTACTGGCCCTTCTCCCACATGCGGCAATCGGAGGGGCACGTGACCACCTGGAGGCTGGGCTGGGCCTGATGTGCTGTGAAGCCGGCCTGCCCAGCACTGTGCTCCCTGGAACCAAAGGCGGCCTGTGCAGCAGAGGTAGGTAGAAGCCCACTGCCCCCACCATCCCCAGCAGGAGCACATCACTGCCAACTCCCAGGACTCGGCTCCTACCTGCTCGGCCATGTCGAGAGAGCAGACGTCCATTTGGCTGTGCATGGGGCTGGCCGCGCCAACTCTGGGGCAACTGTGCCCGCAGACCCTCCACCGCAGCCTGCAGCTCGTCGTTGCTGTCCTGCAGGTCCTGTGGGGCAGAGCCAGACACCTCTTCCAGATACTGTGACCACTGGCATGGAGACTGGGCCACCCAGGGAACAGCTAAGCCCAGTGCCTGGAGCAACCAGCTGGGCCTAAGTAAGCCACACATTTTGGGGGCAGGGGAGGTCCTGAAGACCTGCCCACAGACAGGCAAAGGTGTGAGGGGTTGGTGCACGTCTCCATCCATTTGGGATGCTATAACAAAAATACCATATTGGGGGCTTAAAAACAACAGAAATTTCTCTCTCAGTGTTTTGGCTTCCTTTTTAATCCTTACCTGAGGACATGCTTAAAGAGAGGAATGAAGAGAGAGAGAGAGAGAGAGAGAGAGAGAGAGAGAGAGAGAGAGAGAGAGAGAGTTATGTGAGAGAAAAACATCGATTGATTGCCTTCTGTGCCTTCTGTACATGCCCAGGCTGCCGATCAGAACTGCACCGCACGTATGTGCCCTGACCGGGAATCAAACTGGCAACCTTTTGGTGTACAGGATGACACTCAACCAACTGAGGCACTCTGGCTGGGCAAGCTCTCAGGGTTTTGGAGGCTAGAAGTGATGAGTCCCTTTTATTAAAGCACTAATCCCCTTCTCTGGGCTCACCCTCACAACCTCCCAAAGGCCCCACCTCCTAACACCACCACGGTGGGGGAATAGGGTTCAACGTATGAATTTAGGGGAACACAAACATTCAGTATGTGGAAATACAGGAAAAAAAACCTGCATTTGGGGTTTCTGACCAAGGATATGCTACTCCATTATGGTGTCCACTCAAGACAACAGTGAAAACATTTAAAAATATATTTTATTGATTTTTTACAGAGAGGAAGGGAGAGAGATAGAGAGTTAGAAACATCGATGAGAGAGAAACATCGATCAGCTGCCTCCTGCACATTTCCCACTGGGGATGTGCCCGCAACCCAGGTACATGCCCTTGACCAGAATCGAACCTGGGACCTTTCAGTCCGCAGGCCGACGTTCTATCCACTGAGCCAAACGGGTTTCAGCACACAGTGAAAACATTTAACTGCAAATAATCTCTAAGGAGGATCTGACTAATCTTTTACACTCCCTTTTACCAAAGGCAGCCTTGCCAAGAGAACTGAGGCTGAGAGAAAAAAAGAGAAAAAAACCAAAAAAGCAAAAAAGCTAAAATGATAGTTAAATAGAAAGGGGATTTGACAACAAGGGAAGGGATGGTTTCCTTGCTAACAAATGTCCTGGTTAAACAATAAAAGGAAACTCCAAGCAGTGACTTTGAAAAGACTGGGTGACGCACATCAGGGAAGGTACAAGGTTACCTGTACTTCTGGAGACTGACTTTAATGTCCTCAGCCAAGAGGCAGAGACCCCAGCCCCTCTGCCAGTACACCAAGCACCCAGATCTAGGTCTGTGATACCTCGTATAAGAAACCAGGATGCCGTGGAGAAGTGACTGGTCCAGGGCAAGTGCAGGTAAAGTGCAAGATGAGTCTGCAGCACCTTATGATGCTAGAAAGTATGGAACTAATCAATAAAACAAAACAAATGATGGAGACATGCCTCAAGGACGTGGCTGCAAGCTAGAAGACACTCCCATTGGCCAAATCTTACACAATCTGAGCTCCAAAATAATTAGACTTAGAAATGAATTACAAACTACTGGGGGGAAATGGGAATTCATGAGTCCAAGCCAATAGATATCTAGATAGATAGCTAGCTAGCTAGCTAGATAGATAGATAGATAGATAGATAGATAGATGATAGATAGATAGATAGATGATAGATAGATAGATAGAAAGAAAGATCAGACTTCTCTGGCTTTCAGTAGAATGCCAAGGGCCACTGCCAGATGTGGGGAATGGGTGCTGAAGTTGGAAAATTGTCATTTGCAATCATCATGGTAAAGACTGGAGTGGGCAAGAATTATCAATGGATACTAAATCCAAGGAAAATATAGATGAATAGCAGGATATTGCATGTTCTTAAAATGCCTCCCCACTGCTGCTTACTAGTTACTACCAGTAATTATACAGTGGAAAAATCAGGTAATGCCTTGACCAAGAGAACAAAATTAACATCACCTATGCTGTCCAGCTGAGAATGTGTAACTTCAACTTAATCCAAAGGAAGTATCAGAAAAACACAAAATGAGCCCAGCCGGTGTGGCTCGGTGCACCAGGAGGATGCAGGTTCGATTCCAGGTCCAGGGTTTTAGGCTACATCCCCTGTGGGGGGAGGTGCAGGAGTCAGCCGATCTATGTTGATGTTTCTCTTTCATTGATGTTTCTATCTCTCTCTCCCCCTCTCCCTTCCTCTCTCTTTAAAGTCAATTTAAATAAAACACCAATTTTTAACAAAAGAAAGAAAAACACAAAATGAAGAAGTTTCTATTAAAAGGGAGGGGGGGCGGGGGGATAAAATGGACACATATGTAATACCCTTTGTAATATTTTAAGCAATAAAAATAAAATAAGGAGGAACCAAGATGGCGGCATAGGTTAACGCCGGAGTTTGCTGCTTTGAACAACTACTTCAAAAGTGAAACCAAAAAACGGAAGGGACATCACCCAGAACCACAGGAACGCTGGCTGAGTGGAAGTCCTACAACTAGGAGGAAAGAGAAACGCATATGGACACTCAGAGGAGGCGCAGTGCTGAAGTCAAATTCTGAGGTGCGGAGTGCGCGGAGCGGGCTGGCGGCAGAGGGCGCGGTTGGCGTTTTCAATCGGGAGGGAGTCGCAGACTCTGAGCTCCAGATACAGGCGAGTCTTTAGGGACCCAGACTCAAACGGGAGAAGCGGGACTGTCTGGCTTCGGTCAGAGCGAGTGCAGCTTTCTCTCCGAGCTTTGCAGCGGGTGCTGGGACTCAGAGAGGCAGAGCCCCTGGGGACAGGACTGAGAGCCGCCATAACTGCTCTCTCCGGCCCACCCTGTTGATCCTGTGCGACCCGCCCCGCCCAAGCCCTGCACAGAGGCATTTGCCGGATAGCCTCAGGCAAAGGCTAGATTAGCACCTCCCTAGAGGACAGAAGTTCTCTCACTGCTGACACAGCTGATTCTCATAGCCACTTGGCCTGGAGGTCAAACCCTCCCTGGAATTAGCTACAACAATCAAGATTTAACTATAAGACTGCGCACAAAGACCACTAGGGGGTGCACCAAGGAAGCATAACAAAATGCGGAGACAAAGAAACAGGACAAAATTGTCAATGGAAGATATAGAGTTCAGAACCACACTTTTAAAGTCTCTCAAGAACTGTTTAGAAGCCGCCGATAAACTTAATGAGATCTACAAGAAAACTAATGAGACCCTCGATCTTATATTGGGGAACCAACTAGAAATTAAGCATACACGGACTGAAATAACGAATATTATACAGACTCCCGACAGCAGACCAGAGGAGCGCAAGAATCAAGTCAATGATTTGAAATGCGAGGAAGCAAAAAACACCCAACCGGAAAAGCAAAATGAAAAAAGAATCCAAAAATGCGAGGATAGTGTAAGGAGCCTCTGGGACAGCTTCAAGCGTACCAACATCCGAATTATAGGGGTGCCAGAAGATGAGAGAGAGAGCAAGATATTGAAAACCTATTTGAAGAAATAATGACAGAAAACTTCCCCCACCTGGTGAAAGAAATGGACTTACAGGTCCAAGAAGCGCGGAGAACCCCAAACAAAAGGAATCCAAAGAGGACCACACCAAGACACATCATCATTAAAATGCCAAGAGCAAAAGATAAAGAGAGAATCTTAAAAACAGCAAGAGAAAGAAACTCAGTTACCTACAAGGGAATACCCATACGACTGTCAGCTGATTTCTCAACAGAAACTTTGCAGGCCAGACGGGAGTGGCAAGAAATATTCAAAGTGATGAATACCAAGAACCTACAACCAAGATTACTTTATCCAGCAAAGCTATCATTCAGAATTGAAGGTCAGATAAAGAGCTTCACAGATAAGGAAAAGCTAAAGGAGTTCATCACCACCAAACCAGGATTATATGAAATGCTGAAAGGTATCCTTTAAGAAGAGGAAGAGGAAGAAAAAGGTAAAGATACAAATTATGAACAACAAATATGCATCTATCAACAAGTGAATCTAAGAATCAAGTGAATAAATAATCTGATGAACAGAATGAACTGTTGATTATAATAGAATCAGGGACATAGAAAGGGAATGGACTGACTATTCCTGGGGGGGAAAGGGGTGTGGGAGATGCGGGAAGAGACTGGACAAAAATCGTGCACCTATGGATGAGGACAGTGGGTGGGGAGTGAGGGCGGAGGGTGGGGCGGGAACTGGGAGGAGGGGAGTTATGGGGGGAAAAAAAAGAGGAACAAATGTAATAATCTGAACAATAAAGATTTAATTAAAAAAATAAATAAATAAATAAAAATAAATAAAATAAAATAAAATAAAATAAAATAAAATAAAATAAAATTCCCACAGACTCACACCAAAAAAAAAAAAAAAGAAAGAAAGAAAGAAAGAAAAAAAAAAGGGAGGGGGGATTGTACTCTTCAATAATATCCATGTCAAAGACAAAGAAATGTGTAATAGCCTGAATGTGTCCTTCCAAATTCATATGTTAAACTCTAACATCCTATGTGATAGCATTTGGAGGTGGGACCTTTGAGAAGTGATTAGGTCATGAGGATGGAGCCTTATAGGAGACCCCAGAGAGCGCCTTCATGCCCTTCCGCCATGTGAGGACACTGAGAAAACAGCCAGCTATCTGCGACCAGGAAGAGAATGCTCCCTAGACACCGAATCTCTCTGCAACTTGATTTTGGGCTTCCCAGCCCCCCAGAACTGTGGGAGCTAAATTTATGCTATTTATAAGCCCGGCCCCAACCCCATTCTACGGTATTTTTGTTGTAGCAGTCTGACTAGACTGAGACAGACTGTTTCAGACTAAAGGATGTTAAACAGTTACTAGGAATATTTTCATTCTGCAGTGCATTGGAAAGCTGGCTCTCCAGGAAGAAAATCCCAGATCTGTAGCTTTTGCACATTTCTATGATCCCACCATAGCCTATTTCAAGTATCAAAGGTTTAACAAGAAGCTAGCAAAATTCCTGAGCATTTAACAATCAACTCTAGTGCACCTGCACACCACTTCAAGGTTTTAGGATTAAGCCTGTTTTTGGGAAATGCACACTGACCTGTTTAGAGGTGGAAGGCCATGATGCATATAACTTACCCTCAGATGTTCAGAAAATAACTATGTTGATGCATTCACATCAGGATGCATGCATGTTCACACGCACACACGCACACACACGCACACACACGCACACAGTGAGCAAGTACACAATGACAGAGCAAACAGGGTAAACAACAGGTGAATCTGGGAAAAGGGTAATCTGTATTCCCTGCATTACTTTTACTTTTGTAATTTTATGTATTAGAAATTATTTTCAAATAAAAATTTTTTTAATGCACTAAATGTTAGTTTGAAATAGCAAAAAATTAGAGGGAAAACTTCTAAACAGATTAGCACTAAAATGTAAAATATTTCTGCTGATGTTTCAAAAACTAAAATCTCAAGAACCAAATGTGAAATGAGTAGCAGTTATTTGAGTAAGAGAGTCATGCTAAAGAAAGACGGAGTTTAGACTTGTTAGAAAAATCCGGGGGATTAAAGCAGCGATTTTCAACCGTTGTGCCACAAGAATTTTTAAACATGAATACCTGACTACTTAGTCAGGGGCACTGACCTCTTTTCCTTTAGACTACCTAACAAAAAAAAATGACAATAGTCAACACAATAGCTATCTGATGTGAATGAATCAAAATTATACCTATTTTTTTTTGTCAGATTGACAAAAATATATTTTTTGGTGTGCCACAGAATTTTAGTAGCTTATGTGTACCATGAGATGAAAAAGTTGAAAATTGCTGCACTGAAGGAACATGAATTAATGGTTACTTGTGGGTTCTAAGTCTTTGCAACAAGCGTAAAGGGCGGGAAAGTGCACAGCCTGGAGCTACGATTCCAGCAGAAGGTTGTGTGGCACTTCCCACCTGCGTGACAGCCCCACAACCCTGACCCTCCACACAGCATCTGGTTCAGGAGGGGGTGACACCGCTGACCACACACAGGATTCTCAAAAGGGCACCCAGGACCCAGGGTTTGCAGTGGAGGTGAGAACACAGGGAAGGAAACAGCAGATCACGCCACACTCCAGAACAGCGTGCCTCACCTTTATCCTCTGGTGTTGCCAAAGCAATGTGAAGCAGGAACAAAAGTCAGTTTTTACTTTAATTTGGAGAGAGACCATTAAGAAGTGAATTATGCCCGGCCAGTGTAGCTCAGTGGTTGAGCAACAACCTATGAACCAGGAGGTCACTGTTTGATTCCTGGTCAGGGCACATGCCCAGGTTGCAAGCTCAATCCCCAGTAGGGGTCATGATTCTCTCTCATCAATGTTGTTTCTATCTCTCCCTCTCCCTTCCTCTCTGAAATCAATTGTGTGTGTGTGTGTGTGTGTGTGTGTGTGTGTGTGTGTACATATATATATGTTTTATCTGTTGGGGGGGGGGGGGTCTTCGATCATTTTAAGAGTGTAATGGGGTCAGCACCACTAACATTGTTCATCATCTCTGCCCTGCTCTGCACTGCAGTGTCTCCAATTAAATGGACTGACATCGGTAGGTTTGGCCCAGGAAATCTAAACACTCAACAACAGAAAACATGATGAAGCTTTACATGGTGCCTGGAGACACAGAGGGGCCTGCGGAATTGGTGCTGGTCTAATGACTTGGCCAGCCCATGTGGGGCTAAACACAGGGGGTGCAGGCAAGTCCTGTTCCACCTCCTAGCAGAACAGGAGGCTTGGAGGACCCTGTCAGCCACATGCAGGCCCAGAGCAGAGGCTCTTCCTGCTCTGCTAGAAGGATACTCCTGACACCCATGCTGGACCACTTCGTGTGGAGGCCAGGAGTGTGCCCTGCCAAGGATGCCAGGCCACTCCCGGGCAGGAGGTGGAGGGATGAAGCCTGCATACCACCACCCAGGTCTGAGCCAGACAGACCCTGATGACTTGCAGGGCCAGCCTGTCTCATGGGCTCCAGCACCCCATTCTTTGCAGGAGTAGCTGGGAGATGGTACCACAGCTTATGGCACAGGAGATCTCTGAAGACTCAGGCTCTTAGAAAGAACCACCCCTGCTATGGGGGCGGGGGGCGGGGGGGAGACAGGAGTGTGTGACGGCCCAGTGCACAAAAGACAAAAGCGACAGCCTGGTCCGAGACAAAGGGCATGCTGAGGCTCAGGACGGTGAAGGGGCCAGGGGAGCACATACCCTGCACTTGAGCTTGTACTCCTTCAGGACCTCCTCGAAGTGCTCTTCCTGGGCCAAGAGTTCTGTGCTCTGTGGCTCCAGCTGAAGGTCATACCAGAAAAGGAGAATGACACACAAGACCTCAGGCCAGGTAGAGTGCATGCTGTCACCCCTCATGCTCTTTACCTAAGGCTCAGCACTTCCAGTTACACCCTCCAGTCCCTTCCTCCTCCTCCCCTCCTCCCCTTGTTTAAAAGGTCTCAGGGCAGTAGGATGATCGGGCCTTGGCTCCTGGAGACACCCCCTGCCTGGATCCTTCCCCAGTGCAGCAACTCCTCGCCCCGCCTACTCCCCAGGTGATGGGCAGGGCCTGGTGGGTGGGAGACCTTGTGGTGGGCACCAAACTTTACCCTCTCCTCTATGCCCCTCATCACTGAGAGCCTGTCACTGGGGTCGATGGTGCCAGCTGGCCCTGGTCTCACCATTAAAAGGCCCACATGCAAGGCCCTGCATTGGCCTGAAGGGGGGGAGGGGGGGACGGGACAGAGGGAAATTCACCTTGCTCATTTTCTCTCTGAAGTTTAACAGGAAAAACTAAACCCAGCCACCTCGATATTCTTTTTCAACACCCTGATACTTTTTACCCAGCTCCCCAGGCTCCTCTCTCAAGACTAAGCGTCAGCAAAAGGACTTGCCTTGTCTTTCAAAACAAACTCCAGGTCAGTCTGCAGTTTCAGGACCAGCTTCTCTGATTCCGAAAGTTTTTCCACAACTTCGATGATCTCCTTCTGTAATCGGCTGTTTTCCTACAAGACACAGCTAGTGGTTGCCAGGCTCTGAGTGGAAGAGGGAGCTGTGGGCAGGTCTGCCCTTCCTCTGAGTGAGAGGCCTGCTCCCAGGAGCACTCATCATCAGGGAAGACACCTCGTGGTGCCTGGCACTCACGCCTTGACGTGCAGAGGCGGCTGTCGCAGGGGCCAATGCAGAGCTACCCTGGGACAGACCTGCGAAGCCCTCACCAGTGCTCATTGCTCTTCCCTTGGCCTCTACTCCTCCCATTCCAAGTGCTCAGAAGGCCATGCGTATCACAAGCAAAGGCTAGTGGCAGGCCCTTCGGAGCTGTTTTCTAAATGAGGGATTTGAGGCTGCACCACTACCACTCAGAGGTCCACCGGGGAGGAAGGCAGCACTGTCAGACACGGGCAGCCTGTAAGGAGAGGTGAGGACAGCTCGGGGGAGAGCCCAGACAGGCAGAGGAGGCAGGGCCTGTGCTCGCTGCCGTCGAGGCCCCTGGGTGCCTGGCTTCTGCTCCTGAGAGAAGCAGGCAGGTGTGAGACAACCCACAGGCTCTGAGTTGGGAGAGGAAGAGACAGGCAGGAGCACAGGAGGAGCAGGGGACATCTCACTGAACCCAATGCAGGATGGCTGTGGGTCGAGGGACACTCACCAAAGCCCCGAAACCACCTGTGCCCCAGGCCACACCCACGGGTTTGCTGACTTCACAGGTGCTCTGGTCTCCAGGGCTGCTGGCCCTTCCTCACCTTGGCCCACAGACCCAGAGAAGAGCACAAGGGTCTCAGGTCCCCACCTGTCCTGCTGCCCCGGTGACCAGAGAGCACGCCGGGGCAGTGCTGGTGCTGGCGAAGCCGGGACCCTTTCTGCTCTGGCTGAGAAACGCGCTATCTCCATGGCAAACGTTCCTCAGTTTGAAATCCTAGGGATTTCCCTACCACAGAGATGCAAACTTCCAGGAGGTGTTGAATCCGTGACTGGGAAAATGTGGGGTGTGGGAGGAGGGACCGGCAGGTAAACTCGTTTCTGTCTTTTCCTTCTGGGTGGGGTGCCCTGTGGAGGCGTCCTTACCCTCCTCCATTTCCTCCCCGTCTCTGCCTACCTACCTTCAGAGCCAGGGTCAGCTTCTCTCGGAGGCTGGCCTCCTCAGCCTGCAAGCGCTCCAGGTCCCTCTCCAGCATGGTTCTCTGCCTACAGGCCTGTTCCCAGAATAGCTCACGCTCCATCTCCACCTCAGACCGCAGGAGATTCAGCCTTTCTCTGTACTCCTGCTCCAGGTGTCTGTAAGGCACACAACAGCACATCACACTGGGCTTCCTGCCTCTCCAGGGACCCTTTCCAGCCAACAAGACCTCTTCATTCCCTGGAATTCCCCTTCACGAGCACTTGGCCACGGTCTTGGACTCAATAGTTCCTGCTTGACAGATGGGGTCACTGTTCCTCAGCTAGACAGCACGTGCTGTGAGGCCAGGGCCCTCCTTTCAATCCTACACCTGGGACTGACGGTGGGTACCCCTCCTGGGAGCTGGAATGCGATTGTTTAAAAAGGAGTTTTCTTCTTGAACAACACTGGGGGCTGAAGAGCTGGCAGTGCTGCACAGAGAGCACTGCGTGGAAGCTGGGCTGCTGCAGAGCCTAAGGAGGCCCCTGTGGGCCCTCGCCTCCCGTGTCCCAAACAGCCAGCAACCTAAGGTCTCCATTAGGAGGCTGGAAGAGGCACCAAGAAATGGGGGGAAATGTGCTAGCTATTGCACTCTTGGCTTCTTTCAAGATTCTTTTAGTTCCTTACACCCTATTTTGCGAAGTCAGGGAACTAAGGATAATATCTCAGACGAGCAAAGTTAAACATCTGTAGCTACAAGAATCACCGGTTTGAATTTTCTCGTTTCACCCACAGGAACTTGCTCAGCAAGAAATGGTAAATGGGGAAGCTTAAGGCTAGACATTGCAGGGAACCAGCTGGACAGAGACTGTTGACAAGAGCAGAAACAAAACCTAGTTATTTCTTAACCACATGCTCCTTTGTGATGAACACTGCACATGTTCCACCTAGCGGCTCGGTGCGTCTAGGCGGAAGTCAAGATGTCCATGGCCCATCTCTCCACACTGGGGCTCCTGGCCTTGCAGACACCACTTTACTGGTATAGTGAGGGAGACCATATTTATTTAGTTTCTCAAGTTTGATTGGAAATAGTTTTAAAAGTTTGGTGAAAGGATATTTAATTTTTAGCTTTCCTGAAAATTACTATTATCCTGTTAAGAGTACAGGAGCTGGTGGAAGTGAGTATGCCTGTGTGTATGCTCACACCCACACCTGCACACTCACTCATGCCCATGCGTTCTCACTCATACCGATACATACTCTCACACACTCACATCCCTTGATGCAATCTCTCACATACGCCTTCTCAACACCCACAGAGGTAGGTGAGGATTCCAACTGGTGAGCAGGCCAGTATCTCAACCTGCTGCACTTGGCCTTCCCTAGCCACCCCAGGAAGGCAAAGAGAACCCAGGCCTTTGGAATCAGGAAACAGGAAGCATGTGGATGCGGATTTGAGGCCGCTCCCCCACAGACTGTGATACATGGAAAGGTGGCAGTTCTAGGAGGGGCAGCCAGGGCTGTCCCTGCGAACCCTGAGTATATGAATTGTGTAGAGGGAGCTGGTGGGGCCCTTGTGAGCTGACGTAGGATGTCCATGACTGGACAACCCTATCCTGGGACAGTGATGCGCTCTCTACCCCTCAGGGCTCCTCTCGCTTAAGGGTCCATTTCTGACACTCCCAGGATAAAGCAGGCCCGGGCCTATGCTCTCTCAGAAATAGCGTAAGACAAAGAGAGAGGACCTGGGGTTTAAACTGCAGGCCACACTGGTTATGTGACCGTGGCGAGTGAACTGTACCGTCTGTCTAGCTACCAGCCCCACAAGTAGCGTAGACCATTCACCAGGGGTCTGCCCAGTGCAATGCCTACAGTCAGGTTTCGAGCTCTGAGCTTCTTCCACGTCAGGCTCCTTCTTGCTGAGCCAACAAGCTCCAAAGCCATCCACTAGCCCAGTCTCGAAATGTCCATCTGTCTCACGATTACAGACACACAGAACACGTGGTTTGAGTGGGACAGACCCCATAAATGAAGCAGAGCAGAGTGAGGGAAGCAGAGAGGACTTTTCCCTGCAGCTCACAGGCGTGCACAGCTAGATGCCTCCACCATGCACCCCGCCATAAAGAGCAGGGCCAGTTTTTATTTTATTTTTTGGAGATTTTTAAAAATATTTTTTAATTAAAACATTTTAAATATATATATTTTTTATTTCAGAGAGTAAGGGAGAGGGAGAGAGAGATAGAAATATCAATGATGAGAGAGTATCATAGATTGGCTGCCTCCTGCACGCCCCAAACTGGGGATAGAGGCTGCAACCCAGGTACGTGCCATCTGATCGGGAATCGAACTGTGGCCTCCTGGTTCCCAGGCCGACGCAGAACCGCAGAACCACGCCGGCTGGGCTAAATATATTTTTATTGTTTTTCAGAGAGGAACAGAAAGAGAGAGAGAGAGATAGTAACATCAATAATGAGAGAATCATTGATTGGCTGGTAAGGCCACCTTTTTTTAAAATATATTTCTTTATTGATTTCAGAGAGGAAGGGAGAGGGAGAGAGAGATAGAAACACCAATGATGAGAGAGAATTACTAATGGGCTGTCTCCTGCACACCCCCTACTGGGGATCAAGCCCGCAACCCAGGCATGTGCCCTTGGCCGGAATCGAACCTGGGACCCTTCAGTCTGCAGGCTGACGCTCTATCCACTGAGCCAAGCTGGCTAGGGCAGGCCACTTTTTAAATGCACCCCTCTCTCTTCTTTCAAGGAAAGGCACCCCCAAAGGTGTGTCTTCTAGATTCCTACTGGCTCAGGTGAAACAAGAGGGCCGCGGCTCTGCCATGGTCATGACCACAGCCTCGGCTGGTGGCAGCCCTTGGTCTACAACTGCCCTCAGCTATGGCTGGGAAGCTGCTGCCCTGCTGCGAGGAGCTACAGCTCTGGGCTCGGCACCACTGGCAGGACCTACTTGATCTTCTTCTCCGTGAGCTGCTCCAGGGCCGAGTGGCAGTCGTCCATCTCCTTCGCAAACTCCAGGTTCCTCTTCTCCGCTTTCTCTAGATCTTGCCTCGCCTTGTCTCGCTCCCTCACCATCTGCTCCGCTTGCCCCCTGCGCAGGGAAGAGACGACGTTAACAGAACACACGGTCTGGGCCCAGCGAGCTCTGTGTCTACACGAATGATTAAAGGGCCGGCACTCGCTGGGTGCACGGCATGGTCCAGCGCTGTGCTCTAACCTCACGCCACCACCATGCACCTCCTGAAGAGGTTTGTTCCATTACTGTGCCCATTTTACAGGTGTGCACACTGAGAGAGAGGGTTAAATGACTTCCCAAGGAAAGTTTCTACAAGGTTTCTGAACCAAAGAAGTCCAGCCTAAAGGCTTACAGTGTGCCACACCTGCAGAAGGCCGCCGAATGGTGAGAATTCATCTGTGTCCCCCTAGGTCTCCAGCGGGGACTTGGACCCCAGGAGTCCTCAGCACCTAACCTGGGGTTGGACACATGAGAGGAGCAGGGTGGCCAACCAATACCCTGCCTGGCCACAGCCCCAACACCTGCAGCCTGGCATCTGAGTGAGTGCAAGGTGAGTCACCCAGAGAGAAGGCCATCTGTGTGTGTGGCCCTGGATTGTCCAGTCACCCCACCCCACCCCACCCCCCGGAGGCTCTCAATTCACCCGGCACTCACTATTCTGGTGACTATTTCTCCCACTGAAGGAGCACAGAGCCTCCCACCCCACCCCCCAGTGGATAAAATACTCAGCGAATCCAAAGCTGATCCAACTAAAGTGGAATGTATTCTTAGCCTGTTACTTGGTGGCCATGTTTAAAGAATACTTCTTTTTCCTCTCCAGCCACCAGACCCAAGTGCCCTCTGGCTGTTCTCAGAAGCACAACCTACTGACTGGAGGGTTTGCACCTCTGTGCTGCGAAAGCTCCAGCATATGCAGGATGAGCGTCAAGTTCAAATCCTTCTCTGTGGAACTGCTAGAAGGGGCTAAGGGATGACTTTGACAAAGATTTCTAAGTGGGAGAGAAGGCCAGTGGCCCTTAAATTCTGTGGCCACAAAAGCCCCAGCAGTGACCACTGAGCAGTTCACTGAAACCACACACGTGGACAAAACCTGAAGGACAGGGAGCACTCGTCCTGCTCCCATGGCTCAGCTTTTTCCCAGTCCCACTGCGGGCGCCAGACCAGACCAGCCTGACTCCCAGGCCCACCCCAAGCACATGTGGCCTCTTACTGGCAGAATCTCAGCTCCTGGCGATAGCAGGACAAGGCCGCCTGCTGGGTGACACCGTGGATCATCATGAGCTCGTTCTCAAGGGCCCAGGTCAGCTCCAAAAGGTTCACCTTCTCATCCACACTAAAGTCGAGGCTCTGGAAACAGCAAAACCCATCAGGCAGAACAGGATTAGTGGCTTCTCTAGACACTTCCTGGCTGTCTTAGGGACAGTCCAGGCCGTGATCCATGCTGTTCTATAGGCAGCACCTGCCACTTTTCCATCAGCAAAGTCTCTGCCTCTTGGACATGCCTCTTCCCCACCCATACAACTCTCCCCCACCCTGTCAATGCCCAGTTCTGCCCCCTTCACCGTCCCTGCCTCAGCGGCGGGCGTGACACAGGCCAGACAGCGTTTCCCTCTCTGGGCAAAGTAACTGACACAGACGGGGGCCATGCCTCAAGCAGAGGACTCAAGGGGATTGACAGGGGATGGAGGAGAGAGGCCCTTCTCCCTGTGAAGTCAGATGCTGTAAGGACCTGTGGGTCTGGGGAGATGCATGGGGAAGCCTGAGCTGACACCAACACCGCCAAGAAGCAAGCAGAAGGACAACACCAAGGTTGGAGCACCACCACCCGACATCCTTCTCAACAGAACCTACGCAGGCCAGGAGGAGCGGCAAGAAATATTCAAAGTGATGAATAGCAAGGACCTACAGCCAAGATTACTCTACCCAGCAAAGCTATCATTTAGAATTGAAGGTCAATAAAGAGCTTCCCAGACAAGAAAAAGCTAAAGGAGTTTATCACCACCAAACTGGTATTACATGAAATGTTAAAGGGTCTTCTTGAAGAGGAGGGGGAAGAGAAGGAGGAAAAGAAATAAAAATTAAAAACATGAATAATACATACATATCTATCAGCAACTGAATCTAAAAGTCAAAACAAAAGTAAGCAGAACAAAAACAGACTCATAGATACAGAGAACATTTTGCCGGTTGCCAGATGGGAGGGGTGTTGGGGGGATGGGTGAGAAGGTGAAGGAATTTAGAAGCACAGAGTAGTCATAGCCCATGGACACAGACCATAGACAGGCGAAGGCCTGGGGTGGGGTGGGAGGTGGGTGGAGTGGGGCAAAGATGGGACATCTGAAATACCCTCAGCAATAAAATAAAAAGAAAAAAGTTTTAAAAGGGGAAATATGCTCTAATAACAGGAAAGCAATAAAAAGAGTAAATTCTGAAATGTCAGAGGCAAGGCTGAGACTCCCCACTGGTCAGACTATGATGGCAGCCAGCCCACCTCCAAATACTGGGACTCAGGAACAGAGCTTCAGGGAGAATTTCAAACCCTGAGCCTCTTCCCTCTTTGCCCTTCCTGGGGGCAATTTCTGTGATTTAGGCTCAGCCTCTAGTTCTCAGAATAGTTTTGAGGGCCAGCTGTCCAGGTCTGGCCTTGCCATCTGGGCTCTGCCCAAGGTTGCTGGCTGGCCAGACATGGCAAAGGCTGAGTTTAGGCCCAGGAGGATTTGGCTCAAGGAGCGAGGCAGACTATCTTAAAGGTTGTCTCTGGGAGCCTTCACATTTGTTGGTTTGTGCTAATGAGGGTATTTTTGGAGGCAATATGACAGAACCTATCAAAGGTAAAATGTGTAACTTCAGGAATCTAACCTTACAGAAATGCAAGCATTAAAGCAGGAGGATATACAAGCATTTTAAATGCCCAGATTTATAACAGGAAAAACCTACATGTACAACAATAAAGAAAAAGTAACACAAATTAGCAAGATACAGGATATAATACCAATTTTACCAAAAAAAAAAAATTAACTGGGATGTTTAAATATGTATTTCCTTTTTGTGCCAGGAAAATGCTCTGTAGAATGAATGCCCACTAAGCCATTAGCTGTTGCCACTCCTGGAGTGGGGACAGCTTTACTATATTTAGAGTTGACATTTTCTTTAACAACAGGAAGTGAAACGTGGAAATAAAAATAGTCAGTCTAGCTCACCACACTTCCCTAGCATTCCTCCCAGGGTCTGACCCTGTGGCCCTCGGGGAGGTGTGCCTGGCCCCTAGGAAGAGGCCTGGGCCCTTCTGAGGACAGTCTCCTGGACCAGCCCCTGAAAGAGCAAGGGGGAGCTTGGGAGGAGCCTCCCCATGCCCGGCGCAGTGGGGGAAGATCTGGGGTGAGCAGGGGCTATGCGGGCAGAAGAGCTCAACGAGCTGGGCAGGCAGCTCTGGGAGGAAACGTTCAGATTCTCGGAGAGTGATGTTCACTAAGACATCTCCACAAGGAAGAGGACATCTGCACCACCTGGTCTGTGGGACTGACCTTCATCCAGAAAAACAGAATGTCTCCAAGGCTGAAATGCACTGGGGGAAATGCCTAAAGTATTCAAACCGACCTTCAAATGGATTCATGTTTCCTCTCTTTTTATTTATTATTTTTAAGTGAAAATTTCCTCTATTTTAACAGCAAAAAATAAAGAAAAACGTGTTTCCAACTGGCCTTCCTTCCCTACATGGGGTTCTCCACACCCAGTGTCTACACAGGGTGCTGTGCCCGGCCACCTCTGTGGGCAGATGGCCCCGAGGTCCCCTGCTGGCCCCACACAGCCTGGATGCCTCCCGGAGTGGCAAGCTGTGAGTGAGCAGTTCCATACCTGCAAGACTTCCTTGCCATTATGAATCCCCTCCTGGGCCCACAGGGCAATGAGCTGCTCGGGAAAGGCGAAGCCGGTGCCATTGTCGACGCTGCAGAAAAGGCGCGGGCCTGAGCACAAGGACACGAGAGAGGATGTCGTGGTGGTGTGGCAGCCACCCTCCTCCAGGACCTGTGTGGGAATCAGGGAGATGCTGTGAGCACACGGGCCTCCTGTTCATCTTTAACATTTTCCAACCTCGCCAGCCTGGGCGCGGCTCTCACTGTGCCATTGAGGCTGCATAAGAACAACTCACAGACGAGGAAACAAAGGCACGGCACCGCTGCTCGGGGTGCCCAAGATCACATGGCACTGCAGGTGGCAAAGTGGGGGTTTGAACCCAGGACTCCTTACACCCGGTTCAACTCTCTCTTGAAGACCCTGGGTACCTCCTCTCCTACCATCCACCGAGGCCGTGCAAGGAACATGTCCCAGCACCCGAGTGGCCTGGCCTGTCAGCACGCACCGCCTAGCGGGAGACATGAAGAAGTCTCACATCTCTCCCCGAATCGGTAATGGTGTGCGCCTGGCTTCACAAAAGAGCCCAAGAAGGCACGTGCCAGCACTAGGAAGTGCAGTCTGTGGAAAGAAACCCAAGACAAGTTAAAGAGAGGAGGTGGGACAGCCCGAGCTTCTCCTCAGAAACAGTCTCAGGGAGTTTTAAGATGAAGGCAAAAAAATCGTGGCCGGCCCTGGCCAGTGGCTCAGTTAGTTGGAACATCATCCTGTGCACCAAAAGGTTGTGGGTTCGATTCCCCGTTAGGTTGCAGGTTCTATCCCTGCTCTGGGCGCATATAGGAGGCAACCGATCTCTCTCTCTCTGTCACTCTCTCTCATCAATAACATATCCTCAAATGAGGATTAAAAAAAACTCTTGGCGGGAAAATTGACCTCCTAAGCTTAGGTGCTGTAAGAATCCACAAGGAAGATCATTTTCCTTGCTGTTTTCTAACCCAGCCAGGCTCTAGTGCCTCCTTGCTCTTCCTGAACATTGCAAGCCTGTCCTGTTGCCTAAAACACTTCCCCCCAATGCTTCCATGGCTGCTCCCCTAATCAGATGGCATTCCCTTGGCCTGGCCGAGCCCCTGCCAGCCCACCTCCCTAACAGCACTCACTCCTTCAGCAGGGATCACTGGCCTTAATGCCGCCTGCCCTCCTCAACCCTCAACTGTGTCCCTACCACTTCCCAGTTACTTAAGGACTGGGTGCTCACTACGCTGCACTGGGCACTTTACAGCCCTACAAAGTATCGTGTTTACAGAAGGGAAGAGGGAACTCAGAATGCATGGCCACCACAGACAAACCCAGATACCCAAATGCACCCAGGCCACCCTAGTCTCCCTCCCTCTGCTTCCTCTCTGAGGACTGAGCTTGGGAGCAGGGGCCACCCTGCAGGCTGGATGGGGCTGAGGCAAATCTCCATCTGTGGCACACATCTGAGAGCCACGCACTGCCATGTGACAACAGAGTCCACACGCCAGGCTGCGACACCTTCCCCCCCACAGCCATGTCAGCCTGGACAGTCTTCCTGGACAGCCAGGTCTTGCTTGGGCCACCGGCATCTGACCAGCGGTGGGTCCCGGCCGGCCGGGCGCCTGCTCCTGTGGCTCAGGCCCCTCTCCAGCTGTGCCTCCATCTCAGGATATGGCAAGAGGCCCCGTGCGTGACTTGTGGGACTTCCTTGTGGTCTCTGACCCTATGTGGCCTGACAACACTCCTAGTTTCTTCTTTGTCTGCTCTTCCCGACTTCAGATTCAGAAACCTGATGATCAAATTACCCAGCCTGGCAGAGAGCAATGTTACTGGTTTTGCACCATCACCCACAAACCACGGGATCAGCCCTGTCAGCAAAGAAGTATCAGGAAGACTCCCAGAGCGCCTGCCTGTGGTGGGAGAGGGCGGCCTTACTGTCCTGGGGCTGAGAAAACCAAGTACTAGGCCAACAGTCACCAAACAAAATCACAACTGCCTGAAATCTGCTCTCCTCCAACTGCAGACACCTGGTATTTGTCTGTGAGGACAGAGAACACAGGCTAACGAGCACTTGGAGGGTAATCCTAGGGTCAGTTCAGAATCCTTCAGTGACACTGGTCGGGAGGAAGGAGAGAGGGTTCTCTTATTGGAACAGTGATTCCCACACTAGGAGACATAGCGAAGAACTACCAAGGAATCCTATAAAACCCCAATGACGTGGTGCCCATTTCACAGATGAGGAGCCTGAGGCTCAGCGAAGGTAACACCCAGTGACACACAACTAGGGAGAAGCAAGCCAAGATCTGTGTGGTTCTAGGATCTAAATCACACTGTCTCCCACTTACACACATGTGTGCACGCCCCGACCAACTGCTGGGCTCACTGTGGTGACACAGGCAGAAGGGTCAGGCCTGTGAAAAAATGCTGAAGGCCAGAGGGTGACAGCAGTTCATGCTGTGATTCAAGACTTAATTGTCCCATTTTACCTGGGAATGAGACCAGGACCCGCTCAGTTTGACGGGAGAGGAAGATTCCAGAAGTGAAGTGGGCCCGTGATTGAACAGGCCACGCTGGAATTCCGCAAGACTCACTCTGCCATCTTGGTCTTGGTCCAGTTTGTTAAACAGGTCTTCCAGTTCCTAAACAAAAGCCACACACCTGTGCTCAGAGGCTCTGCCCACAAGCAGCTCCGTGCCAGCTACAGCCATCCCAGCCCACCCATCCACCCTCCCACTCACCCTCCCTCTCCAAGCAGGGCGGTTTGCTTGTCCCCATCCAAACTCAACTGCTGGGTCACACCTGGCCTCCCCAGGCTCTGGCTTATGAAATCTACACATCTGGTCAGTTTTCATCCTGCTGTGAGTGGGTGCTACCTGAACTTCCTAAATTCCAGTGTCTAATGCGGCAGGGACTTGCTGGAGGATAGAAAAGATGTGTATATGGAGCATGGCCTGGCCCCAGAGGTTCCTGGCCTAGCAAGGGCCGTAGGGCTGAGGGGGACTTTAGCAAGAGGGGGCGGGATTGCCCCATCACCACTGCGTGTTCCTCCTCCCCCTGGCCCTTGCAGGAGGAAAGGAGGAGTGAATACAGCTGTTGGGAGTGTAGTCAGGCTCCGAGGGCATTGTGTTTGGGCTCAGAGGTCGAACAAGGCCAGATAGGTAGGGGAAAGGGTGTTACAGGCAGAAGAATCCTGAGTGCTTAGAGGCTGGCGAGGCTGAGGTCATGCCTGGTCAGAGACGGACCCTGGAGGGTGCAGACTTCAGCAGAAGCACTGGGGTCACCAAAGATTTTCAGACCAGAAATTAATACAATTGAGTCAGCATCTGCAGGGTGAAAGGATTTTCCAGATCCAACATCAACCACGGCCATCGCAGTCATGGAGGGCGGTCTGTCCCGGCCCCTCGTACCTCTTTCTTGAGTCCGTGGAGCCCGATGCTCTGGCAGACCAGAGCCAGCTCCTGCTCATTGAGGTGGCCACTGCTGCCGACGCCCAGCTCTTCCCAGATGGCCCGGACCTGGCTCTCAGGGGTGTCGAAGAAGGGGCTGCAGGACTTCTGGGTATTCCCAAAGGCCTCAGAACCCCAGAGCGGCAGCTGGCCTGAAGCAGAGGGAGTGACAGGTAAACCCGATGCTCCAGGAGAAAGCCCCGAGGGGGAACACACCTGCCTGTAAGTTACTCTGAAATCAGATGGACACAGGTGAGTAGCAAAGCATCAAAAGTGAAATTTAGGTGGTGGGTACAATTCTTTCAACTTCATTCTGTGTTTGCAAATTTCATGATCAAACCTCTCTGCTCCACATGGGGAAAGCTTTTTCTGAAAGGAACCTACTAAAGTCACACCACTGAAAGCACATAAAAGAGGACTGCATTATCTGTATGTACAATGAAAAGTTTTTAAAAAATTAATTTTTAGAAAATTTTCAAACCTACCCAAAGTAAAGAGCACAGTCCATTGAACCCCAGTGCACCTGTCACCCAGGCTCTGTGATGATAAAGGCTTTGCATGCTGACTTCAAAGATTCCCTTTCTGCTATTGCTGAAGTGCTTGAAAATAAATCCCAGATCTCGCTTTTACCCCTACCTAATTTAATATGTAGTATGTATTTCTGAAGTATATGAACATTTCTTACCTAATCACAATGCCACTTTAAACCTAACAAAATCAACAATTTCCCAACTGTCTCAAAAAAGTCTTATAATTGACTTGTTTGTTTGAACTGATACCAGACAGTACATTTGGTTACTACTTATCTTAAGTCTTTCAACCATGAGTTACTCTCCTGTCCCCCAGTTCCTAGCACTGCCTTGTTTAAGAACTTGGACCAGTAGTGGTTCTACAGAATGTCCCCCATCTGGATTGTCTGTTTGCTTCCTCATGGTATCATCTAACTTGTGTCTCTAGCCCTAATATTTCCTGTAAACATAAATTTAGCATCAAAGTCTAGTTTGTAATTTGGGTTTAGGCTGTTTTTTCTTTTTTCTTGGCAAAAACACTCCACAGGTGAGACTGTGCGCTCCACACCACCTCACATCAGGAGGTGCAGGTGCCTTTGCGATGCAAAGACTTTTCAGTGGCTCTGGCCCATGTGACTCAGTTGGTTGGGAGTCGTCCCATGCACCAGAAGATTGCAGGTTCGATCCCCAGTCAGGGCACATGGAGCTTGACCCCAGTTAGGGGCATGCAGGAGGCATTTGACAGATGTTTCACTTTCACATTAATGTTTCTCTCTTCCTCTCTCTATCCCTCTCCCTTCCTCTCTAAAAATCTTAAAAAAAAAAAAAAAAAAAAAAAGACTCATCAGTAGGTTTGGGTGACAGATGGCCAGTTTCCATAACTTTTCCACTTTAGCCAGTTGGCTTACTAATGTTTCTGAAGTTTTGCCAGAGAAACAACTTGTGGAAGAGGACATAAGTTGAGGGTATCCACGAGAAGCTATCCATAGATAAGCTATGCTTCAAACCAGACATTCACCTTCACAGCCAGCCCAACACAGAAAGAGTTCACCACAGGGCCCATCTAATTCAGACTTGAGTTCTATGTCAGTGGTCAGTACCTTTCAGGTAGATGAGCCCCCTTGGTGTTAATTACTTTGATAGCCCAACTAATAACCAGAAAGACACTTTCCCCAAGGAAATCCAGGCCTGAGTGCTCACAAATATTGCTATAGGTTTCGGCTGAAGAAAATGCAAGAATAGAACCAGGCAGAAAAGGGCCACCTCTCAGATCCCTTCCAACTTAAAATGTCTAAAATTTCTAGAAAAATGTAAAAGCAATTCTGATACTGGGGTTTGCTTCTCAAGGCTGGCAGGGGAGGTAGATAAATCCTTTGAGGTTTGACGTGAGTGTTCTAACCCAGATGGAGAGGTTTCTGTTCAAGGCTGGGAAGAAACCAGCCTGCTCTCTGGACAGAGAGCAACACCAAGTCGTTCTGTGAATAACCTGCCCCAAGATCCCTTTCTCAGGCTCTGAGTCTAGAACATTAAAATGTGATGGCCTGGATGCTCTTCCTAACACTAAGGGTGTCTATCTGCTTCATCCAGTGGCACAGGCGATGTTCAGATCCGTTCACCTGAAACCTGTGCAGGTAAACGTTGAACAGCCCTGCAATTGAGGGCCACAATCTAGAACAGCCGTGGGCAAACTACGGCCCGCAGGCCGGATCTGGCCCGTTTGAAATGAATAAAACTAAAAAAAAAGACCGTACCCTTTTATGTAATGATGTTTACTTTGAATTTATATTAGTTCACACAAACACTCCATCCATGCTTTTGTTCTGGTCCTCCGGTCCAGTTTAAGAACCCATTGTGGCCCTCAAGTCAAAAAGTTTGCCCACCCCTGATCTAGAAGATACTCAGTGCCAACTGCTGATACTTTGCTGCAGCAGAAATTCAATGTCAATCCTGGCATCCCTCTCTCCAGGTCACGTTTCTGCCCTGAGACACATCGCAGGCCGATGTACTGCAATTTGCTTAATATACTTGCTGCTCCTTCCTGGATGCTCCCGTAAGGCTCCCAAGGACCAGCACATGTCTTCTCTCCATATGGGGCCCAGGCAGGGGTCCTGGCAGGTGCTAAGGCTACTCATCCACAGCAGGAAGGGGGTGCAGGTCCCTGCAGACCATGAAGTGTGCTAGATCCACACTGCCTCCTGAGCCAGTGGTCTCCGTCTGAGGTCTGGCCTCGGTGATGCTGAGAATGCAGTGGCAGCCTCATAGCTAGAACCACCTTGGAGCAGAGGCCCACCAAGGACACCATCCACACCACACGCTTCCCAGAAAATGACACTTGGCTGGCTCACTGTCCAAAGACCCAGCTGCTGGGGCTTTCGGGGCTCTGGTGAAAGCACCAAGCGTGAGGCCAAGGCTTTACCTTTTGCTTCAAATAGCTCATTCTGAGGTCCTTTAGCACTTTCCGCTTCTTCCTCTGACCTGAGACTCTGCACAAAAAGGAAAAGAGGACATGAGTCCCCCGAGGAGGTGGCAGTGGGCAGAGCGGGAGTGAGTAGACGGCATATCTTGGGGACGGGTAGGGATGACTGAGGGAGAGGAACAGCATCCTGGTGAGACGCAGCAGCTCCAAATAAAACCCCACCCTGCAGGGTGGCCCTCACACACAGACAGTAGTTCACAATAAAAACACAGTCCAGAGCTTGTCCCAGGAGAGGCAAGGTGGCTGCAGAGTAACTTGAAGCTACATGCCTCACGGTAGAGAAGGAACTCTTAGCCTTTGCAACAGCATGGATGAACCTGGAGAATATTATGCTAAGCAAAGTAAGTCAGTCAGCAAAAATCAAATACCATATGATCTAACTAATATGCAGAATCTAATTAACAAAATAAAATGAAGAACAAAATGGGACCATAAGCATGGACACGTGGAACAGACTGGCCAGTGCCTGAGCGGTGGGGAGGGGAGATGAGGGGGGATTGGGGGTGACTGGTTAGAGAAGGTGAAGGGATTAGCTAAAGAACATATATGCATAACCCATGGGCACCGACAACAGTTTGGTGAAGTCCAAGGGAGGGAGAGGAGGGCAAGGGATGGGGGGGTGAGGGAGGAGGACACTGAATAATGTCAACATCAAACATTTAAGAACAAAAATAAAAGAGCTCATACCCTACCTAACTGAGAGAAAAACGCTCCCCCAACCAGCATCTCTTCAAGAATAGCCCTGGAGCTTTGATTAAACGCTGCATCACAGGACAGGATCTCAACTTGAGGTTTGAAGGTCCTCAACTCATCCCTCATCACCCATATCATTTCTGTAAACAGTCGGAGGAGAGCAGGTCTCCCTGTCCCTGCAAGAGCTCCGTGGACAGCACGGTGCATAGCAAGCACCTGACACCCGGGTGCCCTTTGAGAGCTGCATCCTGAAGGGGGAGGCCCATCAAGAAACTCCTGACTAGAGCAAAAACCTCATGTTTTGTGACCCGGGCAGCTGACCACAACATCAAAGTTTGCTTTTCACAGGTGATGGATTCTGGAATGAGTGCCGGTTACCAAGACTCGGCACTCCTCAGAGCCAGGACTGAGCTGAGGGCGGGAATGTAGGAGCAGTGGGATGTCCCATTTTCAACCCAACTGACAACCTTAAAAGCAATGTCCCCATGTTTTAGTTCTAGAGAGCAAAGGGGTTTTGAGAAGTAGAAAGCACCACAAAGATGCACCAACACAGCCCTCCATCCATGAGGGCCAAGTTAAAAATAGGATAAAAAGGCAAATGTGTGGGATTTGTTGGTGGGAATCGCAATTCCTATTTGTTTGTTTTCTTCTTTGTCTCAATAAATGATGAGCACATAAAAAAGTTAATCTGGGGGTCCAGGGCCATCTTATTAAAGATAAGACCCCATATCACACCATCTGACAGAAATGTCATCACGGAGACCGGAATCAGGAACCTTCTTGAACCCTTGAAAATAGGTCCAATTGCCCTAGCTGGTTTGGCTCAGTGGATAGAGCGTTGGCCTGAGGACTAAAGGGTCCCAGGTTCGATTCTGGTCAAGGGCACATGCCTGGGTTGCGGGCTCTATCCCCAGTAGGAGGTGTGCAGGAGGCAGCCGATCAATGATTCTCTCTCATCATTGATATTTCTATCTCTCTCTCCCTCTTCTTTCCTCTCTGAAATTAATAAAAATATATTTTAGAAAAAAGAAATAAGTCCAATTAACTCACAGGCTGTGGATCTGCCCTGTGGACATGAAGCCTATGAGGCTCCTGCAGCCCAGGTCCTGGGTCAATCCCTGAGCTGCAGTGAACAGCTCAGCGAGACTGGGAGCTAGAGCCAGCTCCCAAGGCCCCAGAGGATCTGGCACGCGCTCGCCAAGGTGTAAATGTATGCCTGGGATATTCTAAGTGCTCGAGGCAGGTGGGACGGTGGGCTTGATACATCCAAATTCCTAACCCTGCAGCTGCATCAGAAAACACCTTCTTTTTTGTATCCTTGGCCAATTACCACTTCACTCCTGTGAAACCATAAAAATAGTCTTCTTGAAAGGTGGTGGTGGTGAGCAGCGGAGGGAGAGAAACCAGCGATTTGAGTACAAGCTCTCTACCACCCCACTGTCTGAATTCCCCGCAGACAAGCAGGCCTAAAGACACTTCAGGAAATGTCATTACCCAAAGTGCAGTGCTTCTTGGTGACAAAATGCTCAGGAATGCCCGCCTGCCCCTTCACACCTTCCTGCAGTGAGCAGTGACGGAGTGAATCGCCATTTCCCCGATGCCTGGCAGCCTGGGGTGGGGAAGGGGGGACCCGACTCACCTCCACACTTTCCAGAGATGCAGAGCGTCGTATCTGGCTTTTCGGGGAGGCCTTGGCTTGCTGTTCTGGGAAACATTTGGTTCTGGGTGCAGAGTCGCACAGCTCAGGCCGGCTCCTCCGGCCGTACCACTTAGAGCCACTCACATACTTTGGTGGGACAGCATGGGAGGCAGCTAGAAAGAAAATGGGAGGTTCAGAGGGGTGGGCCTTTAAAGCAACCTCTGGGCCCATGCAAGCTACTGAGATGCCTTTTAAGAAGGCAGAGATTTGGACACAGAGTGCATGTCTCACTGACGGATGCACTTTTATGCTCACAGACTCACCTGGGAGAACAGAGGGAACAGTTAACAGCAGTTATCCTATTCCCCGGGCTGGGGACTGAGAAAGCCAGGCTAGGAGACAAGGACTTTCCACTCTAAACTTTACATGCTGTTTAAATTTTTTGGTTTTTTTCTTTAGAGATAGAGGAAGGGAGAGGGAGAGAGGGAGGGAGGGAGGGAGAAAGAGAGGGAGGAAGGAAGGGAGGGAGGGTGGCCGAGAGAGAAACATCATTGTGGGAGAGAAACATCAATCGGCTGCCTCCTGCATACACCCCGACTGAGGCTCAAACCCTCAACCTGGTGTGTGCCCTGACCTGGAATTGGATTGGTGAGCCCCTGGTGCACAGGGCAATGATCAATCAACTGAGCCACACTGGCTAAGGCTTTTTTTTTTTTTTCTGGCTAAGGCTTTAAGTTTTGTTTTGTTTGTTTGTTTTTTACCATATTTTGCTTTTATTTAGGTAATAAAAAACTAATACAAAATCTAGCTTTTCATACAAAGGAAAAAACCTTCCCAATAATCCAGGAACAGACCACTCCAGAGACAGGAAGGTCACCTTCCACCTGCTCACTTCACTCTAGGACCCCAGGCCTGGATGGAGGATGCGGATGGGCACAGACCTCAGACGGAGCTGTGCAGGCTCAGGCTCCATGCGGGTCTCAAGTCTGGGGCGCAGGTAGGTATGGGCTTAGTTTTGAGGTTCATGAGAATCCCCTAAACCTGAATAATTTTGCACTTCCTTTTTCCCACCTTACCTGTCCACATCTGCACAGAGCAGCTGGGATCTCTCAGGCAGAGAAGACACTCGCTGACTCTGTGCTGGAGCCTGGCAGGCCGGAGAGAGACAGGGAGGGCAGCACAGGCAGTGGCCAGCACAGGACAGGGCTTCAGAGGGAAGCAACCAGAATGGGCCACTTGGAGAGAGACAGAGCCCAGAGAGGCCAGGCCAGGAGACGAGGAGCATTTCACTGCAGATGCATCTTGAGCCTCACCCCAACAGAAGTCACGCCCCTTAAGGTCAAGTACCACCACATTTCTTTCTTTATTTCACAGCCACTAACCTTGGGACCATCAGAGGAAGAATGGTGATGCCAGTGACAGACAAAAACTAGGGACAGGGGCAGAGTTTCTGGGAGGAAAATGCTCGCCTGGGACATGTAGACCATGAAGAGAGTGACATACAAGGCAGCTGACAGTATGCAGGTTGACCATATAATTTCTCACCCCATTGAGGCACTTTGAGGTCATTGCAAGCACTATTACTAACCACCCTGGAACAACAGGCATTGACAGGCCCTGGCCCAACAAACTCTCACCATGTGAGAGAGCTCATGGGATCTGCTCAAGAAGAAGGCCAAGTGGGTGGGGAAGAATCCTCCTCTTTCCACCCAAAGGTAGTGTCAGAAGAGGGACTTTTGTGTCAGGTGAGAAGGGGAAGCTGTGGCACGTGTGGGGAAACCAGGTGCAGGACGCTTGGAGGGGAGCTCTGCGCGCCCTCCTAAGCCATCAGACCTCCACAGAAGCAGAGTCCTGGCCCCCAGGTCCGTACCGTGGCCACTTCCCGGGCTCAGTCTACTTGTTGGCACACCTGAAGATCATGCAACCAGCATGTGTTCCTGCCTTGTAGGCTTGTAGGCTTGATTTTCCTTCCTTCCACTGCCTCTCCGTAGATAACTCCTAGTCCATGTCCGGAGTCCCACCCTGTCCTGGATGCTGGCCCCACTTTTTCAGTTGCCAGCAAGTCAGCACTTCCCTTGAGTAACAAGTTGCCCAGAAAAACACATGCTCTGTGCAGATGTGGACAGGTAAGGTGGGAAAACACGTTTTTATAATATTCACCAATGTTCTCAAGAAACCTATCACCTCCCTCCCTCCAACAGGGAGAAATGCTACTCTAGAAAAGTGTCCATGTAGCAAGTCAGAACAGAAACAACAAGGGCAGAGGAATGATGGTAAAATGAATGGAACAGCCCACAGATTCATAAGAGTCATACCCTCTGGAGGTGGGAAGGACGGTAAGTCACCCGGCCACGCATATTTCAGCGCAGGCACAGCCCAGCCCAGCCCCCATAACACACCGCAAAGTGTCCACAGAACACGAGATATGGCCCCTCATGGCTCTGGTAGACAGGGCAGCATACCTGCTGACTCAAGCCCTAGACATCCAGTTGTGTCTTCCTGGTGTACATTTTTATTTATAGGAAAAGAGTAAAAAAATCTAAACATTAAAGTACATGTGGTTATCTATAATAATAAAAGCATAATATGCTAATTAGAGTGGACAGCCAAACGACCTTCAGGACAACCTTCCAGACGAAGCTGGGGTTGCGAGGGCGGAGACCCTTGCACGAATTTCATGCATCGGGCCTCTAGTATGTTCAATAATGGCCTCTAATGAAAAGAGGAGAATGAGGGGAAGCAGGGATGTCCTTCAAAATCCCAAGGATTTGATTCCACAATGACACTCGCCTTCCTGGAGTATCAAAAGCACATTTTTCTGATCAGGGTGGGAGATTATAGGGAAGACTGGCAAGCAGATTAGAAAACAAGAAGAGAGTGATGCTATGAATGGAGTAGCAGGTGGTAAATGAGGCGCTGAGGAGGCAGAGGCCTAAACCACATTTGACAAAAGGGCCTGAGACAGAGAAGGTGAACCAGGGCTGGAAAGCTGAAATGAACACCATCCTGGAGGGCACCACGCTTGTTCTGACTCTCCAGGACCACCAATGCTTGTCAGGCCTTCGAGCAGTGCGCACCCTGCCTCTTGGATGGGTGCTTGGAGAAGGACACTAGCATGAGCCCCATCTGCTGGCATGAGAGCGAGAAGGTGTCTCAGGGAGGACATACAACTTGTGCTTTTTCGCACTGATGACAGTTTTGTTTTGTAATTTCTTTTAGATTTCAAAGCTTTCCTCAGTTAAATTGCTGTATGCCCTCCCTGAGACACCTTCTCCCTCTCATGCCAGCAGGATGGGGTTTGGAGAACGTCTGGGTTGGTGACCATTTGGAGCCTGGGCAGACTGGCATACGTAGAGAGGACCTGGAAGCTCCGGGCCCTTTCCCACGCCTTGTCTTAGCATCTCTTCTATCTGGCTATTCCTGAGTTATTTACTTTTTTAAAAAACATGTTTTTATTGATTTTAGAGAGAGAGGAACAAAGGAGAGAGAGATAGAGACATCAATGATGAGAGAGAACCACTGATTGCCTACCTCCTGCACACCCCTACTGGGGATTGAGCTAGCAATCCAGGCATGTGCCCCGACCGGGAATTGAACCCTGACCTCCTGGTTCATAGGTCAACGCTCAACCATTGAGCCACACCGGCCGAGCCTGAGTTAAATACTTCCTTAATAAACCAGTGATCTAGTGAGTAAAACTCTGAGTTCTGTGAGCTGCCCTAGCAAATTAATCGAATCAGAGGAGTCAGTTTTGAGAACCTCTGACTCATAGCTATTGGTCAGAAGCACAGGTGACAACCTAGACTTGCGACCAGTATCTAAAGTGAAGAATTGCCGAAACCGGTTTGGTTCAGTGGATAGAGCGTCGGCCTGCGGACTGAAAGGTCCCAGGTTCGATTCTGGTCAAGGACATGTACCTGGGTTGCGGGCACATCCCCAGTAGGAGATGTGCACGAGGCAGCTGATCGATGTTTCTCTCCCATCGATGTTTCTAACTCTCTATCTCTCTCCCTTCCTCTCTGTAAAAAATCAATAAAATATATTAAAAAAAAAAAAAGAATTAATGGGATTCAGCCCTTAACCTGTCAGATCTGACACTATCTCTAGGTAGATCATGTCAGAATTAATTAATTGTAGAGCACCCAAATGGTGTCAGAGAATTGCAGCACGGGAAAAACTACCACACATCTGGTGACCAGAGTGTCAGCAGCATTCAGAGTATTGTGCACAGTTTAAAGGAAAATAACAGGATTTCTATCTTATAATACTATTTTACAAAGAAGAAAATAGGAGAAAAAAACAGAAATGTTTTGTCCCAGTTGTCACTGCTCAGCAGTGATAGAGCAGGGTTAGAATTTAAACTCAACCTACTAGATTCTTCGATCAGGATATTATACCCCAAAATGTTATACATAATGAAAAGAAACTAAAGTGAGGGGAGGAAATCCTCTTACCCGATTCCAAAGAACTACTGTCTTCATCCGAGGAGCCAGCACCAGCCCTTGATGATAACACTGCCACAAAGCCTTCCTTAAAGTCCTCAAAGTTAACCTGGGTGAATTTAAGAAAAGGGGTCAAAGTTACTTTCAACAGAACAAATATATAATGCATCAGCCTTTTGTTTGTTTTATTTCCTCAGATGAAAACATCTTATTGTTGCCTTTTTGCATTGAGAACTTTTATTTTCCCCCCAAAATTTACCTAAGATTTTTTAAAAGGAGGAGGTCCAAGATGGTAATAACACAGGAAGACGCTGAAAGCACACTGAAATATACACCTATTTAGAGAGCAATCATGCCTGAGAGACAACTGGGGACTGATTAGACAGCTTATGAATAAAGGAGAGAAAGAGAACGAGTAGAGAAGGCTAGGGAACCACGGGAGCCCCGAGTATCTGCAGGAATTCTCCAGAAGTGAAGGTGCCAGTGAGCACCACTGTTTATGTCCCTTGTCCACCTCCATCAGTCAGGTGGGGGCTCTCCACGTGCTCTGGCTTACCTGCAAGATTGCCATAGCACATTCTGGGAGCCCGTTTTGGCTCCAAACAAAGGAAGCAAGCAGGATCAACAGGACACTCCTACATGAACCTGGCCTGCCCTCCCAGACTACTTCAGCGTTGTAGGCCAGTGCCCCAGATGCCATAGGCACCTGCTTGGCTCCAAATGGACTCTCAAAACCACCCAGCACACACAAGGTCACTTTTTCAAGATTGGGAGAGAGAAATATTTTGTCTAATTCATATAAACAAAGAAAGGTGAACAAAATGAAGTGAAGAATACCTCTCACATGAAGGAACAAGAAAAATCAATCAGAAAATAAAACTAATGAAACAGAGATAAGCAATTTGATAAAAAATTAAAAGAAAAGTCATAAGGATACACACCAAACTTGAGAGTGAAATAGAGAAATTTAGGGAGAACTTCAACAAAGAGTTAGAAAGTATAGTAAGAAACCAAGAGGGCCAAAACCGGTTTGGCTCAATGGACAGAGCATCGGCCTGCGGACTGAAGAGTCCCAGGTTCAATTCCGGTCAAGGGCATGTAGCTGGGTTGTGGGCACACCCCCAGTGGGAGATGTGCAGGAGGCAGCTGATCGATGTTTCTCTCTCATCGATGTTTCTAACTCTCTATCTCTCTCCCTTCCTCTCTGTAAAAAATCAATAAAATATACTTAAATTTAAAAAAAAAAGTAAAAAAAATAAAAAAAGAACAGGATATAAACAATTGTAACTATACACCAAACATAGGAGAACCTAAATATAAAAAGCAAATACTAATGAATATAAAGGGAGAAACTCATGGTAATTCAATAAGAGTAGGAAATTTTAATGTCCCATTCACATCAATGAATTGATCATCCAGACAGAAAATTAATAAGTGGTCATAAATGTCACATTAGACCAGATTAACTTAATAAAAAGTAATAGAACACCTCATCCAAAAACTTCAAAATAATATACTTTTTCATGTGCACATGGGACATTATCCAGGACAGATCACATGTTAGGCCACAAAACAAACCTCAATAAACTCAACAAGATGCAAATCATATGAAGCATATTTTTTGACCATATGACATGAAAATAAAAATAAATTACAGGAAGAAAACTGGAATGAAAACAAGTATGTGGAGACTAAACAACATGCTACTAAACAACTAATGGATCAAGGAAGATATCCTCAATGGGCAAAAACTAAAAGCGTTTCCCTTAATATCAGGAACAGGACACAGATATCCGCTTTCACCACTCTTATTCAACATAGTGCTGGAAATTCTAGCCACAGCAATCAGACAAGCAGAAGAAATAAAAGGCATCCAAATTAGAAAGGAAGAAGTATAACTGTCATTATTTGCAGCTGACATGATATTGTACATAGAGAACCCTAAAGATTCCACCAAAAACACTACTACAACTGATCACTGAACTCAGTAAAGTAGCAGGATACAAAATTAATACCCAGGAATCAGTTGCATTTCTATACACCTATAATGAACTATCAAAAAGGGAAACTAAGCCCTAGCCCCGGGGTGGGCAAACTTTTTGACTCGAGGGCCACAATGGGTTCTTAAACTGGACCGGAGGGCCGGAACAAAAGCATGGATGGAGTGTTTGTGTGAACTAATATAAATTCAAAGTAAACGTCATTACATAAAAGGGTACGGTCTTTTTTTTTTTTAGTTTTATTCATTTCAAACGGGCCAGATCTGGCCCGCGGGCCGTAGTTTGCCCACAGCTGCCCTAGCCGGTTTGGCTCAGTGGGTACAGCGTAAGCCTGCAGACTAAAGGGTCCTGGGTTAGATTCCGGTCAAAGGCACATGCCCAAGTTGCAGGCTTGATCCCCAATAGAGGCAGCTGAACAATAATTCTCTATCATCATTGATGTTTCTATCTCTCTCTCCCTCTCCCTTTTTCTCTGAAATCAATAAAAAAATATATTTTTTAAAGGGGGGAAACTAAGAAGAAACAATCCTATTTATAATTGCATCAAAAAAATAAAATACCTTGGGATAACAGGCACTGTTTTTAGCACTGACATGTTAGCATCTGGACACATTCAAGAGATTGGAACAAGGTGAGTGTTTCTATCAGGAAAGTTTTTATCTAGGTTTTGGATCACCATTTAGGTGATCTTCAATTTCCTAGAAAAAAGAACTATCTGCGTTCATTTTCTTTCTTGCTTATATGAAATCACAGACTACTTCTAAACGTAAGTATCCTTTGCTCCTTAATAGTAGACTGAAATTTTGTCCAACTGCAAGATGAATTTCAAGCTGTGTAACTTTCCTTTGACAAGTATCTTTATTCAGCTGATATTTATCAAATGCCAATAATCGCCAACAAAAGTATTCTGTGCCTTTCTTAATGAGAATGAAGTCAAATACCCACCCTGGCAAAGTGGTCATTTCCAAGAAGTGTCTGCAGAAGGATGGGAAGCTGCTTTTCCAGATGAAGCTTAAGACAGAGTTGGGTCAGCTCCTCCCGATCCAGAAAGCCTGTCCCTGTGGTGTCACAGCTGCTGTAGACTTCCCTGAGCTGTGAAACATAGTGGTCCTCTTCTTCTTCATCCATCCCATAGCAGGCTGGACATGACATGCGAAAAAACAAAAACAACGGTACACTATTACTGCCATACCTCACACATTCTCTCACTGCTATGCTCCAGACGGTGTGGCTCAGGCCCAGGGTAGAAGCTGGTGTGGAAGGAAAGGTGACCAGAGCCTCTCGGGTTTATGTGGGGCTGGGAGGCATCGCCTGCACCTTTGCAGAAGAGGCCAAAAACGTGTCACTAGAGAGCCAGTCCTCCTTCTAAGAAGAAGAAATTTTTGTTCTGTCAAAAAAAAAAAAAAAACAACCCACAAAAACCTATTACAGAATAATCAGGTAAAACGATGAATATGAAGATAACTAAAATCATCCAAAATTTCACCACCTAAAAAAATCATTAATATACATTCTAATTGTTCTCTACACATTTCAAGTATGATTTTTTCCCTTACAAATATAAGAAAAAATGGAAACTCCAATAAAAAGAGAGAATTTAAGTAGACAAATCATTAAAGGAGAAAAATATATGGTTAATAATCATCTAAAAATGTTCAAATTATTAAAACAGATACTATTTGCGACCTTCAAATTATCAAGAATGAAAATTTCATTGCTAACTGAGGCTGTCAGAGAAGGGTGTCTCACACATCCTGGAGGAAGCGACAGTTAGTAAATGTCTAGGGAGGCTACTTGGTCTATACATCAAGAAATTTTGAAGTATTTTGATTATCTCACCTAGTTATTTCAAATAAATGAATTTCATAATCCCTTTTAAAAATTCCTTTATACTAAAAGAAACAATGCCACACACAAAGATATGAGTTCATCAGACTACTACTTATATAAGGACAGAAAATAACCTAAACCATCCAACAAAAGAATTTTTGCTAAATTATAGTGTATGTGCATGGCAGAATAAGAACTAGTCTTGAAAATCCATTCCTAAAAAAATATTTAATAGCACAGAAAATATAGTTAATAAAACATTAAGAAAGAATAACTACTACTTATAATAATTAGAGCTAATATATTCACTAGTCACTATACATATAATTCACTTATGGCTCATAATAGTTCTATCAAAAACTCTGCAACTTCCTGAGGAAAATATACAGAGTGGGGCAAAAATAGGTTTACAGTTGTTTATATGGAAAATAATACAATAATTAATAAAAAATTACACAAGAATAAACTCTGTTTCCCATACTCACACCTATAAACTTACTTTTGCCAAACTCTATATTCAAAAAAGAAAAAAGAAAAAAAACCCACCAAAATAGTAAGGGATGACTTTGTACTATTACATATTTTCCTAATTTATATCCTATACTAGAGGCCTGGTGCATGAAGTTCGTGCATGGGTAGGATCCCTAGGCCTGACCAGCAATCAGGGCCTGATTGGGACCTTCCTGCTGCTCGCCAGGGCCTTCCTTTATTCTGTGCCGCCCCCTGGTGGTCAGTGCATGTCACAGCAAGTGACTGAACTCCCAAACTCCTGAGAGGACACTTTGCATATTAACCTTTTAGATAGATAAATAGATAGATAGATAGATAATAAAAAGCTAATATGAAAATCGACCGAACAGCAGAACTGGTTGCTATGACGCGCACTGACCACCAGGGGGCAAATGCTCAACACAGTTGCTGCCCCCTGGTGGTCAGTATGCTGCCACAGGGGGAGCGCTGCTCAGCCTCAATCCAGGCTGATGGCTGGTGAGTGCAGCGGCAGTAGTGGGAGCCTCCACAGCAGCACTAAGGATGTTCAACTGTGGTTTAGGCCTGCTCCCCACAGGCATCTCCTGAGGGCTCCCAGACTGCAAGAGGACGCAGGCCAGGCTGAGGGAACCACCCCCCGAGTGCATGAATTTCGTGCACCAGGCCTCTAGTATTTTTATATTTCTTAAAAATTATTGTAGCCCCTCCAGCATGGCTGAGTGATTGAGCATTGACCTATGAATCAGGAGGTCACTTTTCTTTTTCTTTTTTTTTTTTAAATACATTTTATTGATTTTTTACAGAAAGGGAGAGGGATAGAGAGTTAGAAACATTGATGAGAGAAAAACATCAATCAGCTGCCTCCTGCACACCCCCTATTGGGGATGTGCCCACAACCAAGGTACATGCCCTTGACCGGAATCGAATCTGGGACCCCTGAGTCCGCAGGCCGATGCTCTATCCACTGAGCCAAACCAGCCAGGGCAGGAGGTCACTTTTCAATTCCTGGTCAGGGCACATGCCCAGATTGCAGACTCAATCCCCAGTAGGGGCATGCAGGAGGCAGCTGATCAATGATTCTCTCTCATCATTGATGTTTCTATCTCTCTCTCCCTCTCCCTTCCTCTCTGAAATCAATAAAAATAATCTTTTTTAAAAATTATTGTATCTAAGCAGAACACTTTATAACCAAAAAATATTATGAAAAAACACTAAGCTCCTAAATATATTAGGATGAGCCATACAAAATTATTATTATTTGAGCATTTTCATCCACAAAAATAGCAGCAGGACGTAAGGGATAATTCTGAAAGAAGAAATATAAGTAAAAAAAAAAAAGGAAAACCAAGCAAACTCATTAATCAAATAAAGCAAGAAAACATGAAACAATGAAACAACATCTCTTCTATTTATAGCACACACACCTTGTAGATGAAATTTTTTTTTAAATATACTTTATTGATTTTTACAGAGAGGAAGGAAGAGGAATAGAGAGCTAGAAACATCAATGAGAGAGAAACATTGATCAGCTGCCTCCTGTACATCCCCCACTGGGCATGTGTCCACAACCAAGGTACATGCCCTTGACCAGAATCGAACCTGGGACCCTTTAGTCCGCAAGCTGATGCTCTATGCACTGAGCCAACCCAGTCAGGGCGAAGATGAAATTTTTAAATGGTTGATGGGAAGGTGTGTACGAGAGTTAATAAAAGGGAGAGATTTAAGATGGCGATAGATTAGGTAGAAGCTACCCTAACCTCCTCCCAGGACTAAACTGAAATTACAACTAAATTATAGAAAAATCACCCTGAAAAACCTACTGAAGACTAGTTGGAGAAAAGCTTTACAGCCAAGTTACAGAAAAAGCCACATTGAAGCTGGAAATCTGCACCCTTGTGGCTGGGTGTGGCGGCGTGGGAGACTAGGACATTTGGCCTGGTTGGCACCTGGGTGGAGGGCCAGCCACGATGAAAGATTGGAGTGCCAAGTGCTAAATTTTGTTATCCTCTCCTGTTTGAGGTGGAAGCAAAGGGGTGCTAGCAAGCCAGTACACTGAAGGGTTTTGGGTTCGATTCCCCATCAGGGCACATGCCAAGCATGTGGGTTCTATTTCCAGGGTTCAGGGCATATATGATGAGGCAGCCAATCGATGTTTCTCTCCCACACTGATGTTTCTCTCTCTCCCCCCACCCCTTCCCATCCTCTAAAAATCAATGAACATATCCACAGGTGAGGATTAAAATAAATAAATAAATAAATATTAAAGAAAATAAATTGGAAACTTTATACGCTGTTGCTGGAAATATAAACTAGTGCAAGTGCTACAGAAAACAGTAAAGAGGCTCCTCAAAAAACAAACTAAAAATCACACTTTGGGGTATTTATCCTAAAGGATTGAAAGAGGGATCTGAAAGAGATACTTGCACTGTCATGTTCATTGCAGCATTATTCACAATAGCCAACTGGTAGAGGCAGTCCAAATGTTCATTGACAAATTAACGAATAGAGGAAATTATATATATACACTAGAGGCCCGATGCACGAAATTCGTGCAAGGGCTCCGAGGGCCGAGGCCCCAGCCCTCGCAGCAGCAGCCCTGGCTGCCATCCCGGCCCTTGCAGCAACAGCCTGGCTTCATCTGGAAGGACGTCTGGTCTAATGATCATATTATGCTTTTATTACTATACTAGAGGCCTGGTGCACAAAAATTTGTACACTGGGGGGGGGGGGCCCTCAGCCCGGCCTGTGCCCTCTCGCAGTCTGGGACCCATCGGGGGATGTCCACCTGCTGGCTTAGGCCCGCTCCCTGGGGGGATCGGGCCTAAGATGGCAGTCAGACATTCCTCTGGCAGCCCGGCAGCCCTCGGGGGATGTCCACTTGCCAGCGGGGAGCAGACCTAAGCTGCAGTCGGACATCCTTAGAGCTGCTGAGGAGGCAGGAGAGGCTCCCACCACTACCACTGTACTGGCAGCCATCAGCCTGGCTTGTGGCTGAGCAGAGCTCCCCCTGTGGGAGCGCACTGACCACCAGGGGGCAGCTCCTACATTGAGCGTCTGCCCCCTGGTGGTCAGTGTGTGTCATAGTGACCACACATTCTCAGTTGTTCTGCTGTTAGGGTCAATTTGCATATTACCCTTTTATTCTATGTCTAGTGCATGGGTGGGGGCTGGCTGGTTTGCCCTGAAGTGTGTCCCAGATCAGGGTGGGGGTCCCTCTGGGGTACCTGGCCAGCCTGTGTGAGGGGCTAAGGGCTGTTTTCAGGTTGGTCATACACCCTTCAGGGAGGGGGGGGTCCTGCTGGGGTGCCTGGCAAGCCTGGGTGAGTGGCTGATGGCTGTTTGCAGGCTGGCCACAGTCCCTTCAGGGTGGGGGTCCCCGCTGGGGTGCCCGGCCAGCCTGGGTGAGGGACTAATAGCTGTTTGCAGGCTGGCCATGGTCCCCAGCTACCCAAGCTCCCAGTGGAGGCTGGCTGGAAGCAGGTATCTGGGATTTATTTATCTTCTATAATTGAAACTTTGTTGCCTTTAGCGGAGGCCACAGCGGGCCAGGGCAGGTGGAAAGCTTGGCTTCCTCCATCACCGAGGCAACCAAACCTCCTGCTTGCTCCAGCTCCGTGGCTGCCGGCCGTCATCTTGGTTGGGTTAATTTGCATATAGTTGCTCTGATAGCCTGGTGGGCGTGGCTTGGGCATAGCAGAGGTGCAGTCAGTTTGCATGTTTCTCTTTTATTGGATTAGACTAGAGGCCCGGTGCACAAAAATTTATGCACTGGAGGGGGGGTCCCTCAGCCCAGCCTGTGCCCTCTCTGTCTGGGACCCCT